GGCAAGCTGCACCTCTGATTGCAACAAAAAGTTTTTGGAAAAACTGAGGTACTGGATATTCACTGGTTTTTACAATACTTAATAAATTAATTGTATGGAGTAAGGAGTTATCTACGCACCAGAGTAACTATAAGTGTAAATAGCCAAGTATAGATGAAGAAGTATTGTCCACCCCACTTGATGATGTAAAGTAATGCCGCAACTAAAGGAAGTGATATCACTAGCATGACAACAAGCTTCTTAACAAGATCCTTTAAGAAGAAGCCAAGAGTCTGTGGAGGTAGTTCAACGAAACAACCATCAATTCAACATTTTTATCATTGACAAATAAACATGTACAGCAAGCTTGAGCACAATAACATTCTCAAAAATATAGTTAGCAATATTTAGTATGGCTTTCAGAACTTTTCTTGCAGCAACCAAGCATCCATGGAAACTTACATAATTTAGTACTGGTGTGTATGATCTAAATGTACATACTATAACACAGTCACGTATATTACAACAGTTGATGAAATAAACAAATCACCAAGCTGACACAATTACATTAATTTTTTAGGAATAAAAAAAGTATGATAGCTGGTACAGGTAGCTCAAAGAGCACATGAATAAAATCAGGTTTTGAAAAGAGTTAAGCCACAAGAGCTGGATTCAAGTGTACCTAAATGCAAGTGCAGCAAGATGCAAGTGGAACTGAATGCAAGTGGAACTGAATGCAAGTGGAACTGAATGCAAGTGGAACTGAATGCAAGTGCAACTGAATGCAAGTGCAGCTGAATGTAAGTGCAGCTTAATATGCACAAGGTCATAAGTCTTAGTAATGACTCAGTACACAATATCCTTGAAACTCTGACTGTTCTTATGCAACATTTTAGAATATTCCTTTACAAACCTGTTTGTTGAAGCCATGTTTTTCTTCAATAACAAATGTACTATACAGGCTCCAAGGAAGATCTGTGATGGTACTGAAAAGCATTCCGATCAAAAGAAATGCCAAAGATTGAGTGATCTGTCAGAAAAAAAAAATGTAAAGCATCAAATAACATTTGTATTCGTTATTGTCAAAGATTGAATCTAACTTGGAGGAAATGATAGACTTATTGAGTTGATCTTCACCATGATTTGCCTAAAATGGCTTAAGAGCTCTTTAACCAGAAAGTCCATGCTATCAAAGCATATGCTGGCTTCAGTAGCATGCAGTGATGACAGGGGTAGTTCTCATCCCCTTAGATGGGGTATCAGTCTTTCACAGGGTTACCCAGCTACGTTCCATCAGGTGTGCCTATAAGCTATGGGGCAGGTGAAGTCTGTACTTGAGCCATCTTATCCTTGTTTCCTTAGCATGAAGTGACTACAACTACTACTTAACTCCCTTGGACGGGATATTTGTCCATCAAGAGGTTAACCCCCCTCCTCACCTCCCCACCATTTCATCAGGCTTCCCAGACAATTCCCAGGTATCACTTTATGCACTTGGATGGAGAAAGGCCTGTAAGAGTTAGTGTTTCGCCCAACAACACTGCACATTGACCTGGTCAAGTTTCAAACACAGACCTCTTCCAGATCTGAAGTCCAGTTAACAGTTGGGAGGTAGCCATTTATAACCCTGGATGGATAACAGTACTGTTGAAATACAGTGTCTTGCCCAAGAACACCACACAGTGACTGGGCTAAAGCTTAAACCTGCACCTTTGGATCCTGACTGCAGCATCCGGAACATTGTTCACCACATCTGTCCCCTTCCCCCCAAATGATTATTACTATGTTGAATAATAATTTGACAATTTGGCCAATTTATCACCCAATGATCAACTCTGCTGCTGTATGTGCAGTAAAGCCAGAGCTATAGTGTAGATTACTTTCTCTATATGGATATGATTATTTTTTTTCATAAACTTTTTATGACTTTACACACCTCATAATCAGTCGTGTAACCAAATTTGGAAATCAACACTCCAGAAATTCTCCACAAAAAAGGTATTCCACCCAGCAGTAAGATGAGCTGAAGGATACAATGAGTAAGCAAATAAATAGATGAAAATTAAAATGTACCACTTTGAAACAAGGAACTTAATTTACATATATTTAAAGAACAATACACACTTTACATAAATGGAAATAACTAGGAATTTTAAAATTCTCTTGGCTTCAAGCATCCCTAGAAGGTTTGGTTTGACAGGAATAGACCACTTTCATAAATGGCTGCCAGATTAATATTCTTTTGTTTAAATTTAAATTTGCCTGGGTGGCCTCGCTTGAGATAATGTATTCTTTTGAATTTTGTACTGGAGAACGAGGTCAGTGTGGCAAATTCAAATTTAAACAAAAGAATATTAATCCAGCAGCCATTTATGAAAGTGGTCTATAACTACATGCATTTGGACTAGCCAAAATATTTGCTCAGATTTCGCTCTTTTTGTGGAAACTGCTAATAGCTTTTGTCCTCTTTACAGCAATATTAGTAACCCCATTTTTTGAATGCCTGTCTCACAATTTGACAACATAAGGGAAGACAACTGTATGCAAAGTTCAAAACCACAGTTTTCTATTTGAGCAAAAGACAGCCACCAAAACCAAAAGTTAAATTTGGGCACTCGTGAGATAAATAAAGGCCCCCAGTGTGGCATCTGGCCTTCTCTTTGAAATTTGTGTAAACCTTTTGGATCAATGAACAGGTGAGTGGAATAAAGTCTTGATTAACTTTTGATGCAACATCAACTTCTCTCTTTGTTTCATGAGAGAAAACAAGACAATACGAGTAGAAAATCCTGGGCCGGGTTGTTCAAAGGCAGGTTAAGATAAGCCAGGGTTACCGTGAAATTTAATTGCAGATCTGAAAGCTTTTAAATAAAATTCACTTTAATTCCATTTCTTTACTATTTGATGATTGAATGCTATAAGAAGAATTGGGAAAATCATCTCAAAATGGCTTTTGAACAGAGAAATATAGAAACCTGGATTAAAATTTAACCCTGGGTTAGCGCTAATCCATCTTCAAACAACTGGGCTCAGAAGTTAGTCAGGACTTCCTTAATGCTTTCTTCTATGCTTTCTTCAACTTAGAGTTATGATCTATTGATATACATATCTAACCGTTGTTTCTGCTTGAGAATAAGCTCCAGAGACAAAACCAAATGAAGAGCGATCCAGCTGGTAAACCCGTGCTTTCTCGAATGACTCATGATCCAATGTATCTTTAAGCTCAACAGGAACGTCCTTAGTAAATTTCAAAACTTTATGCTGAAAGAAATTTAAAAAAAAAAAAGGAAAATCAAAAAATGATCACTTATTGCCTAGCAGTGGATTATAATTTTTCAGTTATCCTCATTGCCCCTTCACAGAAACACACAGCTTCATCAACTACTTTGGCCAACTGATCTTACAATTAATTTTCTTTCTCCATTCTAAATACATGTTAACTCCAGAGACTCTAAAGAGTCTCACGAGAAAAAAGTGCATCAATGATTACAGTTTACTAACTTTCCTACATAAAATGAATGAATGAATGAGACTGTAAAGAAGGTGATGCAAGTGACAGCTTTTACTGATAACCCTATCGCACCTGTCTAAAGTAATACAATAACAGAATTACCCATTTTCAAAAACCTCGCAATTTGAAAACATATATCAAATATAAAATTATATCTTTTGTTTTCTCATCAAAAAGGTGATGAACAATGCATGTGTATATTTCACATCAAAGGAACAATACCTTTTTTTGTTACTGTTTGAGAGTCACTGTACATAATTTATTAACATTGTCTTATACCAGCCTTTGTATGGTGCCTTTGACATTCATGACTAGAAATTCTTCAATATTGAATATTCTGAATGTACGCTGTAGCTTGTAAATGTAAAGCTACAGCCTTTTGGTAAGATTAAAAGGAATTCAACTGTTGAATAATACACGATGTGCATGCTGGGAAACTCACAAAACTGGAACAAAGCTAAACAAAAACATATTTTGTGGATTGTGAACAATGATGGAAGAGTATGCTTTCTTGTTTGTGCTTGAAATATGCTATTAGAAACTGAAATCTCAAGCCAGTCATGAGAAATTCATGTCTGTTTTGGCGACTTTCACTTTCTTCACAGAAATAGGGACAAAGTGGTTTATCATAGCTTTTCTTTTCTGAGGGGACAACAGGGAGACCAGGGGGGAAGGGAGGGTTGGAGATGTAATCTCTTTAGAAATATATAGTAGCGTGCATCTTGTGTTCTATAAATTTTTGTGTGATACTTTTGAGAATAAGAACGATATAGCTGAAGACAAAGCTCATAGTAGATACGTTCGGACTTTTTCAATTCAACTGCAAATGGAAATTTACTGTCTGGATAAGTGAAAATTGGTTTCACCTGAAAGTGAAATCGTCCAATGACAAGCTGTTACTTTCGAAATTTTACTGGGTCTAATGAAAATAGGACGAAATAACAGCTCCACGGGCAGGGAAATTTTAAAATAAGGAGCGTAAACATATCTGTAGAACTCAAGCATACTCTTAAAAAGGAAATGAAGGGCACTTGTGAAATTCAAAGTATGTACAACTCTCTTTTAAAAATACCCTTATCAAATAATACCTTAGCGAAGAAATATTTACTTCCTATGTGTGATATTCGGATATACAGTAATACAAACCCTCGATGTCCTTTGATTTGGATATTTTAATCAACACACTACTCACATGGCAGCCAACGAGTATCACAACAACAACTTTCCCTAGGCATCACGGGATGCCTACAAACACAACCTTTTCGCACTTTCGGTACAATACACTACACTATGACTGTCTTAAGTCTTACCTGACGGTATGAGAGATAGTTTTCCCATAAGTACGTAAGCCACAAAAATCCAACTACGGCTAAAAGCACGTCCACCATTTTGGAAAAGAAAGGCGGTCCCGCGATCTTACCAAACAGCGTTTTACCATTACAAAGAAAGGCGCGGCTGCGTAATTCTATCCCAGACTCTCTCAGCCGGTCGGTGATCAATTTTTTTTTTGTTTTGATTAGTCGTGGCGACCACTTGAAATGATCATTCCATCTGGATTAACTATAAGGTTTCGGATCACCGTTTTTAAAATTCCGATGTGGTGTGTCAGAACGTATTCTGTATCAAGGAAGAATTGTGAACTGTTGTTGTAAAATATGGGTAATGGAGCCCAATCAAGACCTGAAAACCCCGTAACGATACAGCCAGATGAGAATTTCATGAGATCACAACCAAGTTATGATTCTAATGGTTATATCGCTAACGGCGTTGAGACGAATCACGGCATAATTCAACCTTATAGTGGTGTTCAGTCTCAGCATCTGGCACTACCTTCCATTAGAAATGAGCCGTCATCTTATCATTCTGGTCCATACGACTCGGTTGATCATTTCGACGACTATGAGGTAGACATGAGTATTGAGCGTGCGGTAGCCCCGCATTCCAGATCATGTTCTCAGTCATATCGCGGGATAGACAGAACAGACGGGCCAGTTTATCGTTCAGCTTCGAAAGGAGCTTATGGACAGTCGCAAATCGGGAATGGAAATCGATTAGCCGACCAGGGAGGAGGGACTCCAAATTCAAGTTCTGATGACATTTTATTCGAGGTCTTTCATTGCATAAAGACAGGAAAGGATTACAGCGTGATAAATTTGGATGGTCAAAGATATTTCGTTGACTCTTGGAATTCAGGTAGGTTATGCATCTCCGAGTAGTGTTCTCCTAAAAAAAGATATTAATGGCGAAATTTGAGGGAACAGGGGGAAGTAGGGGGGTAGCAGTAGGGGTATGCTTTAATGTTGATGATCACTAAATCGGTTTGGCGGGTATTGTAGCGCATTTTGCGGTCAAATGGAGATTATGTCATTTTTTTCAGTTCTTAATTTCTCAATGCCCTCTAAAGTTAATACATCATTTATGTTCTCAGGCATGAATATTTTTTGGGTCCTTCTCAGAGCTCATTTTAACCCTTGGCTAATGGCTTGGGCAAAAATTACCTTTAATTGGGCCCACAACATATTTATATCTGCAAACATAGACTCTTATTTTTTTTAGTATACCTGTAAGACCTATAAGAATGCAGAAAATGAAATAGGATTAGAATGGAACACAATTTTCTTGCATAAGTGTTGTCTAGGAAAGTGGTTTAAAACCTACTTAGGGTCTGTGTAGATAGGCAAGTGGCCAAATTTATGACAAAATCACCTACCTGACCAACCAGTTAATAAAAGATTTACACAAAGTGACATTTTAATGACAGAGGTGAACATCTGTTCATTGACCCTTTAAATTTCTTTGTGCCATGAAGGAAAACGCTCACCTCCAAAGCAGTTATTCCCACAAAATCAACAAAAGAATGAAAAACAAAACAGATAAGATACTCACAGGTCCTCTTGGTTTATTGGTGTTACAGGCTTCTCAGTATAATCTCAGGAAAACATTAATCATGGGTTTCAAATCATTATCAAGTCACTTTTATAGTGGCCTAAGACATGCAGACAACAAAACAATCACAGAGCGTTTTTCTTTTTATACTAAGGACTGTGTGCAGATGGGCTAAAAGTAAGCATTTGGCCCCTGACCTGTTTCATTCTTATTTGTTATTATATGGCTGTGTCTCACGAGGACTGGGAACTACTGAATTCATGAATTTGATTGGCTGAAATCAATATTGAAAGCGGTCTAGATTTTCCCATCTAGACCGGCATCTAGACTAATCAAGAAAAAAAGGTACAAAGAATATGAAAAATTGGCATATAAGACACAGCCATATAATAAACATCTTATTAGCCAAGCTAGGTCGGTCTGTATATATGGGGGAATCGTGACCTCGGTCGCTGGTACAGACCTCACTGCGTTCGGTCTGTACTGGCAACCTCGGTCAAGATTCTCCCATACAGACCTCCCGCTTGGTTAATAAGAACTAATTAGACACCAACTTTCACTTTGAAGCAACCAAATTCAAATGTCATCCATGTTGCCATGCATTCGAAGTCCCAGTCTCTGACAACACATCAAGACATTAATTCTGTACGTTGTGGGAGTACTTGCTCTAAGGGGGATTGGAATCCTTGATGTGCTCTGGTCTGCTCTTAATTATAGCTAAAAGCAGTATCATTTCCTAAGGAAGGAATACATTTTGGTCAGACATGTTGAATTCAGGGCACAGCATCCTCATTTGAAAATTTTGTCAAGGACTCTCCTGGCATTTGAACAATCACATTCATGTAGGGTTAAAATAAACCAGGTATTCCATTCAACAGAAGCCCCCAACAAAAAAGAGACAGGAAGTTTTGCAAATAGTTTGTATTAATATGCTTTGTACTTGCAGGTAATGAGTTGCAGCCATTTCCAGATGAGTGGTGGCAACACGGTCACATAGAGAGAGAGCAAAGACCAGGGATAGGGGATTATGGGTATGATGAAACATCCTATGGTACTGCTACACAGTCACAAAGTGCTTGGGTACCAAGATGGGAAGATGACCGCATGGGGATGATGGAGCATCCATCTAGAGGTGCAGTGCTCTTTGTTATGATTATTAACTTTAAAAAGTTTTCTTTTTTTTTTTGTAGTATGATTGGATAATTTTACATGCTGTGCTTTAAAGCTATCAATGTTGTATGGAGAGGGAGGGTCATGGGATCTGGACCCTCACCCCTCCCTCCCACGTTATACCTGTGGAATTTTATCACCTACCTAGCATAACAATTATGATAACAGGATTGCGTAGCACTACTTAACTTGACGTATTTATACTTTGCTTCTCTTGGAGTATTTCTTTGTTTATCTGGGCTAGATAGTGAAAAAAAGAAAACATAAAATTATTTGTCGTATAAATTTAAGTTTGGCTTTTTCCTTCTTCCCCTCTAAAAAAAATCCGGGATGTTAACCTTGTTTCAAAACAGGAAGTTGTGGGTACGCGGAAGTGGCTTATTCCTTTACGCTCATGGCTTAACTACGAATTTAAGAAAATGAGTAAGCAGTCATTGTAACTTTCAATTCCCACCGGTAACTTATGACTTTAGTGCATTAATGTGCAAATTTTACCGAATCTCATTCTAGGACTGCTGAGTACGTACTTTGAAGAAACTAAGTTGAATGTACTGAATGTTTACGACCAACATTCAGGCACATGGTTGAAGATGCCTTTGTCATGGGAGATGTATGTGCCTGATGTAAAATCGCGGCTTGCCATCATTCAGGAGACATTTCCATATTGGACTGATACCTTTGAGATACTTGCATTGTTGAGACAGTGTAATTATGATCTTGACGAGGTCCTTAGCACATACATGACGCTGTTTGAGGACGCGGAGCCCACTAGCAAAAAGAATGCTTTGAAGCTTGAAAATAGCTCGGCGATAAATGAAGAGCAAGCTGCAGAGATAGAAAGCTTGACGATTAGAATCGGACAGCTAGAGGAGCAACTCCGAGATAAAGATTCTCAGTTGGAAGATTCTCAAAGAAGGAATTCGGACTTACAAGAAAAGCTAAGATCAGCAGAAGAAATTGCCAGGAAACTTCAGATCAAAGGGACAAGTTTACAACAGGAGATTCAGCGGCTTAAATCTGGGCAAACGCAATCTCAACAACCGGTTGTGGCAACGGTTGCTGTGGTGACTCCCAACGAAAAGAAGGTTTCTAGGGAAACCTGTCTGCACATCAAGTCCTCAATTAAATTCTTTTCTGAGAAGTTAGCGGAATTGCGGAATTGTTTTTCAAGCGAAATGGATGGACTTTATTCAGTTTTAAATCAGGCGCAAGGGTCTTTGCGTAAGATGAAACAACAAAACCAAGGCTCAAGCAAGGAACTGATAGAACTTCGTGCTTTATATCATAGAGAAGTACTTGAAAGAAAACTTTTGTACAATAAACTCCAAGAACTGCGCGGAAACATCAGGGTATTTTGCAGATGTCGCTTTGATCCTAATGCAGATGATGTACTTAATTTCTCAACGGATCAAGACATAAGTTTGGTGTCAGCAACGGGACAGAAAAAGTCCTTTAGATTTGACCGAGTTTTCTCTCCCACCAGTACTCAGGAAGAAGTCTTCCAAGACACTCTTCCTCTTCTTACGTCATGTGTTGATGGCTACAATGTTTGTATCATGGCTTACGGTCAAACAGGTACGTGTTCATAACGCAATCTTAATCGTTTCTTTAAGGCCTCCATTTTTCATGTGAGTGGCACAGAAGAAAAAAAAAATTCTGGCATTGAATATTATTTATCTGGTGGCCTTTGAGAAGTTTTGTCATCTGCGCATTTCAGCTCCTTAGGTCTACTTTTGTGGTACATGAACATCGATTTTACCTTCTTTTTTTAGGTGCAGGGAAAACTTACACCATGATGGGACCAGACAATGATCCCGGAGTAAATATCCGATCGATTCTAGAACTCCTTCGAGTATGCGACGAACGAACCACTGTGGACTATAGTATGTGTGTTTCTATGGTGGAAGTCTATAACGAAACAGTGAGAGATCTGCTCAGTGAGAACAGAAACTTACAGCAACTGACCATTCAAATGAGGAACAAACAACTCGTCATTACCGATGTCACTGAAATTGATGTGAAATCTGCTGCTGATATCAAAGGCATCATGGAGAAAGGTATACGGTTTGTTCAATGTCTGAAATTTTTGGTACCTTTACTATTCACGAGGTGGTAAACAAGGAACTATGCACGCGGATGTATATTCCTGTTTGGTTTCCTTCAGCTTGTTTCATGTTCAAATCGATTTTGTCTTTGAGATCCATACATGACGGCCACTAACACTGCCCTTGTTGAAGGTGCTTCACAAATACTCAACATTTTACGCCCTAACGTCAGTATAAATATTCTCCGTATTGTCCTCGTGCATATCTTAGGTGCTGACAAAGCGAATATGTTTATCAATCAAGAGCGTCCAGAGTTAGCGATCATTTATTTTATCCTAGTCCCGGTAATGTTTAATTCAGGGTGATACTGATTGGAAAAATTAGATGCTTGTCACTCTTTGACGTTAATGCGGTTGAGTCTCCGAAAAAGATCGAGTCCTGAACTACCGTGTGAGGAATGGACCAAATTGCTTCATATTTTCGTAAAAAGCGAGTACAAATCGAAAGTTTACGAGCAATTAACCGACAGCAGGCGCTCTTCTGTTCTTTTTGTGCAATTTCAGGTGGCCAGAACCGTTCAGTGGGCGCTACTAAAATGAACACAGACAGCTCTCGCTCCCATTTGTTACTCCTCTTGAAACTTCATGGCACAGATCGCGTGACAAATGCCGTCACACGCGGTACGCTGACCCTTGTAGACCTTGCAGGCTCAGAGAGGATTTCCAAGACTGAAGCTACGGGACAAAGGCTCGTGGAAGCGGCAGCCATCAACAAATCTCTTTCAGCGCTTGGTCAAGTATTTGGAGCGTTAAGGACGAATGCAATGCACGTACCTTACAGAAACTCCAAGTTAACTCAATTAATACAGAGCTCTCTTGGGGGAGACGGTAAGGCGTGTTTGTTCGTGAATGTCAGCCCGCTCGCCAGTAACCTTAGCGAGACGGCGAGTACGTTACAGTTTGGGTCAGCGGCCAAACAAGTAGAACTTGGAAAGGCCAAACAGAACATAACACAAGTACCAAAGAAAAACTAACCGGATAAAATAAGGAGTTAAAATCAGCAAGGACTGATTGACATTCAAGTATCTACTGTTCCTTTAATGTTCCAGGGCTCGTTTTTCGAAAGGTCCAATAACTTCACGGGTCCTAAACCATTTTATAATATCCAAATACGAGGAGTAGTAGAGTAGATTTTGGTTCAAGAGCCAGTCAGTTCTGTTTTGTTTCCTTGTAAAACACTTTTCAAATTTAAAAATTATTTATATCTCGATCTTAAATGTAAACAAAGCAAGCAAAAATCTGAGCCTTTCACGATCGGTAACTATCGCATCTTTTGAGAAACGAGTCCCGGAAGGGAAATAGTAAGCCAAACAGTTTTGAACGTTAATAATTTATTTTCCAGCCATTAACCATTTCACTCCTAAGATAAAAAGATATATTCTCCCCACTTTCGGCCATGAGAATTTTTTGTTGATTCTAAGAATATTCCCCAATTTATTTTTTTATTTGATCTTCTCACCTCTCTGTTTGAAAATGAATTGACATCGCCAGGTAGTGAAAGGGTCAATATAGGAAGCAGATGTATTTTCGTAAACAGAAACATTAACCGGCGCAAGCAAGCGTACGTGTCAGCTTAAAATTAAAAGGGAGCTAAAAATTTAATAAAATTTAATAATTTAATTTAACGTTTTTAATAAAACAATTATTCCACTCGTGCTTGTTGGATATGAGATGATTATAGCCAACTCGGCGCTACGCGCCTCGTTGGCTATCTATCATCTCATATCCAACGCGCGCTCGTGGAATAATTGTTAAATGATACATGTATATTAATCCTTCTGAAAATTTATATTGTGGATATTGATTTTATAAAAAACGTCAAAAAGATTTGGATTCAGTAATTTATTATTATCCGCCGCATTTATGATAAGGTAAAAAGTATATTTTACAACATAGCAAATGCCAGCAGGTTTGCCTAAAATACTCTTCGTTACTTGTAGATTTTTTTGAATTTCTTTAAGACTCTGAGTTGCCAACCAGTCTAGCTTTCTTACATTACACTTTCACTACATTTCAATTGCAGACGATTTCTGGTGTAGTAAAATCGCAGCTTAACGATTGGCAAATGTCTATCAGAGCAATGTTCAAACTCCTTACGCTAGTAAAGAATTGCAGTTTAGCGGATCGCTCTGGGAACTCAACTTGGAAATGCGCCCATCACAGCCGTGGAATTCCAACCGATCACAGTTGAGCATAAAAGTTCATAAGGTGATGCATATCAAGTAGGACTTTAGATACCAGGGTCACTTACTTAAAACTTACTAATTCGAGTACGGGAAACGAACGACGAACTTGCGCAGTTTACTTGTTTTTACTTTGAATTCTCTCTGGCTTCTTGTAACGTGTTCCATTGATCTGATTTTACATTGTGATAACTCTGGTGTTCAAAAGCGCACTACTGTTTTTGCATTGCTTTTGAATTCCCTTTGTAAAAGACAGTTCGTTAATCGCTTTAGATCAAACACAACCGCATAACCAACGTTTGAACAACGTTCAACGCAAGATAATTATGAATAAAACGGAAGTTAATGTATTAAGAATCTCCATTTTCATTTGACTTACGATATTAGTAAATATGCTATGTACAGTTTGGCTCCCTTTTTAAGGTGAATGGTGGCCATCTCTGTTTCAAACTGGAACTTACACCGGTTCGGAAACCAAATTAATTCAAATTAGAAAGAACCATGAAACTTAAAACTTTAAGTTTTGAAAAAAAATACCGGTGTTGTTTCATGGGCGACAAAGGACTTTAAAGACACAACTATTGAATGAAATGCCCGAGACATAAATTATTGAAAAAGCCAGGTAAAAAAAGAGAGGTGGTTTAAAAAAAAAGGGAAAAAAAAAATGGAATGGAAGAAGAATGGGCTGAGAGGTAAATGTTCACCCTTCAGAATTCGAAGTTCCCCCACGCTTTCTCTTATCCTTTCTAAACTTCGGCGCGCTTTCTATCTTTCTATCTAATACCTAACTTCTAACAAGAGCTTCGGCGTTATGAAAAGGGGCCCTCTTAAAGCTTTTTTAAACCATTTTTTTCCCAACAACATTGTCATTGTTTTGTTCAGTTAATAAAATATTTTCCTCGCTTAGTTTTGGGTAACTTTTTGGTTAATATTACTGAACTGGCATAGTACACATCCAAAGTTTCAAATAGAGGCTCCGAAACTCCAGTGGGAAGTCGGGTGAGGCTCTGTCGAAGCCTTCTTTACCAACCAACCAGTACGTTGTCACTAGTCCTTGCCTCTGTAAAATATGGACAAAAAAAGAAAACACCATATGAAGATGTCAAATGAAAGGAAATTGACAAAAATATTACTTTGATTAAAATAATCAAACAGTCGAAATTATGAAGCCTAATTGGTAAGGGTTTAACGAAAAGTGCTATATTTTGAATTAAGGTTTCCAAACGTTTCGAGCTTGGACCTTCCATTTGTGCAGAGGAAGATGTTCGTTGTATTCGTTGTACTATTTATATGCGCCATGGATTCAATAAAAAAATTCCTGAGGCCTATTCCATTCTGGAGGCATTATTTGTCGATCAATTAGCTAGAGAACTGCGTCTCAGTGTGATGGGCAGAAAAATAGGTCGTCTGTTTGCGGTTACTATTAATGACAGACAACTCTCATTCAACATAGAAAATAATCCCAGAGTTATCAACGGGAAAAGTAACGGATGCATGATCTGAAATGAGTAGGCGACCAAAATATATTATGCTTGCGTTGCAAGCATGTCGTGTTTCAAAGCAATATGCCCAGTTTGATGGTCTAAGGGTGCGCTTCCCCAGAAAAACTTGAAATTTGAAACTCTCTGAGAGGTTATTTCCAGCATTCTGGGACTTTTTTTTTTAGGCAATGCTTTCAGTCACACATTGGTGTTAGAATCGGTTCAAAATACTGTACCGGCTTCTTATGACAACTGTTTAATCCCTTAGTCAGTTTCCTGTTTACCTCCGAGGTATTTTCGTACCTTAATTTGGCACTTACCCCTCTCACCCGAGGTATTTTCGCACCTTAATTTGGACCTGACCCCTCTCCCTCGAAGTATTTTCGTACCTTATTTTGGACCTGACCCCTCTCCTCCAGGTAAAAACCACCAACTTCAACCAACCTCGAATGTGAATCGCTGCTCACGTGGATGCGCAAAGCTTGAGAAATGTGTGAAGAAGAGAATCCTCATTAGAATATATAAAAATCACAATTACCTTAGTATCTAAAGTACGGGCGGAGAGTTTGATGGATTTTTAGCAGGAATTTAACTCGGAATGATAGAGAATTTACAGCGTGCGCAGTACTTACGTAAACACGTGCTTTCCAGCTTAGACGCGATGATGACCGTGTGACCATAAAGACAAAACCGTGGCATAGTCACACCAATAACTGCTGCCACCACTGGACCTGTAAATGTAGAAAAAAATACGGGAAACAGTTAAAGCACCATTACTGCTTCGCGACGTTAGTGGCGTTGTAGGTAATTACAGTCTATCATTGAACAATCGATCTCAGAGAGAACGTAAAAAGGGCACGACTAAGAAAAAAAGTGATCAAACATCCGCGCACGTGCGAACGTTGAATTGGCTGGGTGGTGTACTTTGAGGCTATCAGAACGCAGTTATACTACCGAAGTTTTGAAAAATTACACGAGCTAGTTAGCGCCGGCGTTTGAAAATCATATCACTTTTTTGATAAAGAGCAAAACAAAATGATGAATCAACACGTTGCCCGTAATTACACAAAGTTAAAGTTCGAAAAGTCTGGAGTTTTCTTTTTCCTTACTTTTGTTCCTATTATAGATTTCCGTGTTTTTCTATATTTTGCTTGACTGTGGTTTAATCTTACGCTTTTCCTTTGAAATACGGAAATCGGCACGCGGCCAGTCAAAACTGAACCCTTGGGTATGCTTGACGCTCGACCGCACGTGTACGATGTATACGCCAAAGACGTCATGGAGAAGAACAATACATAAGGAAAACAATGACAAGACAAGATGCCAGAAATCCTTCCTACCCGTGTTGATGCCAATGCGCAGTTGCAGTTGATGGTCTGGCAGATGCCGCACCCGAAACACAGTCATGTGACTGAGGAGCTTTAGTGCCATGCTTGCAATTTCACTAGCATGTCTGATGCCATTCTTCTTCGGACAACCACTGACAACAACGTAGGCATCACCAACTGTCTCCACCTGACAGAGAAAAACTATCATTTCATTTTTTTTTTTAATATAGAGTGACCCTTTTTTTACGAAACTCTGAAAGGTGACACTCTTTTACGGAAAAGAAAAAGAGCCAGAAAACCACCGGGGCAAGAGAGAGAGGTTGGGTTCGATATTGCGGACTTTTAGGAGGAGAACAACCGCAAAACAACGTCTTAAAAATTCCAGTTGTTAAGGTGAGTTTACCCTGTATACGTCAAAACGATTGATAATTTCATCAAAAGACATACAAATCATTCAAAAAGCCCACAATCTGCAACAAGAAAAGAGGGAATTATCAATGTATTCCGCCATATGTCTGTGTTCATCATAATATGTACTTATTGACCGAGAAGAAGGGCTGGACAGGAAAATATTTGGCTCAAGGTCATGACGTACGGACCGAGCGCAGCGAGGTCCGTGCCTCATGACCGAGAGCCAAATATTTTCCAGTCCCGCTCGACCAAACTCAGTCAATAAGCATTTTATAATCACTAAGTGTTGTAAATTTCAACATAAATAGGTTGCGATAGACGGGCACACGCAGCTAAACGAGTGCAATTAAAAATTTTCCTTCATTTTCTCAAGGCAGAACAAGAAAATCCTAATTCTATAAAAAGCGCGACTTTTTTTTTCTCGTCTTCTGTTTTCCTTTAAGTTTTTGCAACAAAGCCACGTGAGGGCAGCAGGGCCGGACGGTTTTTCTCTGGACCGGCTCACGTCAACCCGTCCGGCCCTACACGTCTGTTCCCAGTATGGTGTTCTATGAGATTGCGCGAACGGGGCCGGACGGGTCGTATGATAAATCTACTTATTTCACTTATTGCTCTGAACTGATCTTTTGAAAATATCTTAAAGCTCTCCAATAAGTTTCCGTAGTTTCCTAAACCACGTAGCTACCTTCCATAGAAGTCATAGAGAGACGCACTAATCATGGAGAGCTTCCCAAAATCGGTACAATACCATGGCTGAATGCTATGCGGGACTTAAGCCCCCCTAGCCCTAGTCTTGTGATTTGGTGCATAATAGGGAAGCTGAGATTTATTAGCGTCTGTTGTGTAGTTACATACCTCCAGCCGAGAACTCATGGAGGCCAGCTTGGTGAAGCCGACAATGTCACTGAAGAAGATGGTGACTTCCTCAAATCCCTCGGCCTGCACGGTGTTATCAGACTTCAGCTGGTCATCTACCAAACTAAAAACATTAAAAAAGAACTTTTAGAGCGGATATTGACTGAGTGTCGAGAGAAATACGGGTTTGATCTGTCCGGCTTTGCTTCACTAATCCAATCGCACTTAGTCTCTCATGTGCAGCCGCCCCGAGTAGCAATAGGATGGGATGATTTTGCTTCAAGTTCTGATTGGCTGCCGGTGATAGCTATCCTAATTGGCATTAGCCTTTGTGATCAATTTGGTTTTACGACACTCATTTGAACAGTACT